CCCCCCCCCCCCCCCCCCAACTATACATGCTAGCTACGGCCCTGCCTGTAGGTTTAAAGCCACTCGCGCTCGCCTGGCCACACCACTGGCCTTATAATGCGTGGCTGCTGCGTGGCTGCGTGCTAGTGTGTAAGGGAACTAATATCGCAAGTAATATACTACAAACATTCGAGTATGTTAGGCCACGGTCAAACGTCGAACTTTTTATGTGCTGAATCTAATGCAAATGAAGTGAAACAAAGAACTTAGCTCATTAACATTAGGTTCGGTACATGAAAAGTTCGATGTTTGACCCTGGCCTTAGGTTTAAAAATTCAAAGAACACGACATCAATATATAGACATAGTAAAGTTAGTAAACAACGTTTAAGGATCAGTTTAAAACGTGCGTAAATCGACAGGCTATAGGGTTCGACTAATACGCAGGTAATATACCAGAAACATTAGAGTATGCTAAGTTTCAAAATTCAAAGAACACTATTAATATCAATAGTAATAAGCAAACAAGACAAAAGTCCTATCGCATAGTTTTCGCTCCTTACCTGGCGGTCATTTTGACTTGAGCCTGCGATCTGTTGCATGTCAGCGGTTTACTTCATGAACGTGCGTATATTTCACGTTGACGAAAAAAACGATGAATTTTTGCAAAGAAAATTAGGGAACCTAAATAAAACACTCCTAATCGTTTATTAAACAGTACCTAAAATTTGCTTGAATGATTGTCGAGCTTCAATGAACTACATAATAATACTGCATGACTAACTGTTCAAAACAGTCATAAAAACATTCACTGTATAGTCGAACAAATGTAAATTGACATTTGTTGCCTATATAATTATTGCCATCGCAGGGTTTTGGCCCCAGAGGGCGGCACCACTCGAGGAAGCACTGTATTGAAGTCCCCGCACGTTATATGATATCAATTTACGGTATATACCAGAAAGGTTTAAGTTTTTTAAGTTTTTTTGCCCGCAAATCACTGGTGGGTAATATTGAAAAACATTGGGGGGGGGGGGCGTATTGAACTAATGTGATATAAATTGTTTCAGGTCAAGCATAAATTGTTAAAGCTATCAAGAAGCAACTAGTTTATATATTACAGTGAAAGGCCACAAGTTTAAAAGCTTCAAATTTTATTATAAAAGGCAAGTGAATTATTGGCGTACGTAGTACCGTACATGCGCAAGTTTAAAAGGTGAGGGTTCAAAGATTGCGTTGCTTTCGGTTAAGAATTATTATTCGCTTGGGTCAACACCTTGTCAAACGGCATTTTATCATGAGTTGGTCAAAATCAAATTCAAATATAAAAACTATAATAAGTTCTTTGTATGTTTGCATGGTGATAAAATATAATAGGTTTTGTTTGTGGAAACACCACGTAAATTTATTACTGCAAGTAATAAATTTACGTGGTGTTTCCACAAACAAAACCTACGATAAAAACTATAGTTTTATAAAACAAGACACACAACAGTCACATTAGATAAAACGTTTGTAACAGGGACTCAGAGTCATTTTTCCATTATATTGTCTGAAAAGCGCCATTCCTTCAGCCGTATGGAACGCACAAGGATCGATCAAGTTACACGTGGTCACTGTTCGGACGTTTTTAAAGTTTGTCCAATTTTATCAACCTTCTAAGTTTTTGAAAAAGTTATTGTCATATTGTCATAACATTTTGTCGTATTAATATTTGTAAACCATAAGGCATGATCATTTTCAAAAACAGTACACCATATAATCACGTTATTTTCCGGCAGCTTCGGTCCGGATGATGAAAACCTCTGTCTTCAAATTCATCCGAACCTCACAGCCGGTAAATAATATATATGTATTTCATGATTTAAATTTAATTTAACCCGCTGTGTTATTGTCAGTTAATCTCACAACGTCAGAAAAGAAAACTACTGATGCTGACAAGATTTTTGTGAAGAAATCACAAACTGCTGGGAATTTACTGTGAATTTCAAGTTAATCAAGGATGAAGTTAACCAGTTTTTGAGCAACCGGCCCCAGCTAGTTATATAATGCGAATCTTTGTTACCTTACGCACATGAAAAGCAAAACTCTCAGAAAGCATTGCAAAAAATGTATTCTACTTATTTCCATCTATTTATCACATTTTGTGTGATATACAGAGCTTATACTGCATTATAAAAGCTCTAACATGCAAAAGAAAAATTCTTCAAACTAGCTACGTGTTCGTTTATTATTTCTACTTATACTAGTGCAAAGCGTCCCCCATTTCTAGACTAAAACCAAAGTTAACGAATAAATGAAGTATTGCAGTGTCTTTCTTGTTTCTTTTCTAGTCTATCTTCAACACTTTTTTCTATGTCAAGGATTCGTCAACCGCTTTTTTTCTTGCGGATACCTGGCAGGTTTTCACACATTGTGCATGCGTCATCTTTGCATATCGTAAATGGAGAGCATTTTGGCTCTTGATGATTGCTTGTACATTTCACGATCTGGGGCGACCACGTCAAAAGATCATTTTTGGTCGTTTCCTTGATAGTGAGTCGGAGTTGCCACATGCATCCCCGTATGAATGGCTTTCCTGTATCATAGTTTTGGCAAGTGAAAGTTGTCTTTCTGGTTCCTGATTGGCTGTTTTCCCACGCGTTTGCGAGCGACGTTGCCACGGTTGTAGTTCTGGTTATTTTGAGTGATGCGCTGGCTGTTGCGCCGCCAAATGTGACACCAGCTTCGATTGCAGAACTAACTGAGTTTTCTATACTCTTAGTGATTTTTTTCGTGTATTTGATCGTGTTGCTTATCGCGTGAGTAACTTTGCCATTTTGATTGCAGCCAACCAAGGACCATGTTGCACTAGGTGTAACCCATTTTTTTTTATCCTGCATGCTCATCCATCTAAAGCGTTGATCAGGAGCCCCCTCACAGTGGTAGCTCCCCACATTGCTTCCCTTTTTTGCTTCATTTCCAACAACGTCTATGCACTGTCCTGACTTCTTACTCAGGAAAGAACAGTAATCTCCATGGCAGTATTGCTGTGGTCGTCTCCACATTTGATCAGGCAGATCTTCACACGCGTACATATGGATATTGCCATATCCATTATAACCTCCAATATTGACGCACAATCCGGACTTTTTGTTGACTAATTCGCCATTTTCGTAAAAATTGAAATACTGATCAGCAGCGTCTTCACAATTGTATATTAAAACATTGCCACGTCCTCGGTGTCCCTTCACATCCAGACAAAGACCAGATTTCGCAACTTGTAGTCTCCCATGTCCCAGCAGCTTGCCCCGAGAGCGGAAGTAGAAGTACTGGTCATCCAGATTTTCGCAACGATATGCATAAAGGTTACCATTTCCACCACGACCATTAACATCCATGCACGCCCCAGATTTCACGTTTATGATTTCTCTTGCCTCTTGTTTAATTCCTCCTGTGTCTACAAAGGTTTTTGACCTCCCATATCTCCACTTCTGATAATCAGGTATGGCTGGGTATACCTTGCAAGACGTTGACTGCAAAATTCCCTTTCCGTGTTTGCCTGGTGTAAAATAGTTCACCCAAGGTGTAAAACAATTATGAGGAGCTTTTGAATTCCTTATCGTGCCATCTCCACACATAATGATTTGTTGATCATGATAGCCGTCACAGTGAATTGTATTAATCTTTCCACGACCATCTGTTCCATCTATGTTAACACATTTCTTTGACTTCAAAACTCGAAGTTCGCCAATTTCTATCGGATTAACACAGACCACTTGGGCAGCGGTTTCGGTAGAAATACATGTCAAGACAATAACGATTAACAAAACAATATTTGACATCGTTATTTCCCTGGTTCTGGCCGGAAAATCCTAAAATGCGAGGAAGATATTTTAATTTCATGTCCCCACCGTCAACGTGTTTGTAATTCTTAAATAGCTACTATAAAATTTTCTGTATTCTGATCTTTGAGCAAAACACAAAGAATAAACTTGTGGCCATGCAGTCTCTGTGCACAATGGTTGTAAGTAACGTACAAAAAAAATGACGAGAATTTGTGAAGGAGAACAACTAAGGGAGCGTTCATAATTTAACTAGAGGGGGGGGGGGGCTACGGTAATTTATATTTTTTTGTTTAAGGTTGTAAATGATTCCCCCCCCCCTTTGCAGTCCAGATAATTTGTTATGCCCCCCCCCCTAATATAACTTGCTCAACCTAGAGAAAGTTGTTTTGACCCCCCCCTGCTTCTGAGACTGAAACTAACCTTTAATTTCACAGCATTATAGTTTCTGAGTCTTTCAATATACCGGCCTGAATTAATTACTCAGCTGTAAATGGTGATGTCAATATATTTTTTAAGACAGACAATCTCGTTCCCAGAGTATGCCTGTTAGCGGGTTAGGTTGTGGCATGACTCTGGGGAAATCGAATCTAAATCGTTATTTGATTGGCTGCCGTGATCATCAATGCTGCC